CTACGTTTAGGTATCAAGTCCCACCAGCCCTTTGGGCGTGAGTGGTTTAGGGAGCTCTCTCTGTCCTCAACCCCCTATCTTCCCCTTCGGGGAGGGGTTTACCCCTCCCCCTACCCCCTCCCCCTGGACCTGGACAGGGAGTCCCGGGTGGTGGCAGGGGGGTCTTTTTCGACTCCTGGGAGGGCCAAAAAACGACGACCCTCACGAGGATTCTGGCCCCGACGGGGGGACCGAGTTTGGCCCCTCTGCTTTTCTTTGAAGCCAAAATCATTGATTTTACTACGGTTTTGGCCCCATTTTGGCGTCCTGAGGGGGCCGCGCTCATCTTCCTTCACAATAAAATTATTGATTTTACGAAGGTTTTGGGCTCATTTTGTCCTTTTCAGGGGGCAGCTCTCATTGGCGCTTCTGAGGAGGTCGCACGAGGCCCCAAGATGGCCCCAAGAGGCGCCCAGGAGGCTCCCAAGAGGCCTCCCCAGAGGCCTTCAAACGGTCCCAAGAGGCTCCAAAGAAGCCCCCAAGAGGCCCCCAAGAGGCGTCAAGAGGGTCCACGAGGCCCTCAAGAGGCTCCCCAGAGGCCCCCAAGAGGCCCCCAAGAGGCCCCAAGAGCCTCCAAGAGGCCCCCAAGAGGCCCCACGAGGAGCCCCAACGACTCACACGAGGACGAGGGGCCCGAACGACTCACACCACGAAGAGCCCGAACGACTCACACCACAAGGAGGGGCCCGAACGACTCACACCAGGACGAGGCGCCCGAACGACTCACACCACGAGGAGCCCGAACGACTCACACCACGACGCGGGCCCCGAACGACTCACACCACGAGGAGCCCGAACGAGTTACACCAGGAGGAGGGGCCCGAACGACTCACACCAGGATGAGGGGCCCGAACAACTCACACCACGAGAAGCCCGAACGACTCACACCAGGACGAAGAGCCCGAACGACTCACACCACGAAGAGATAGAGCCCTCTCCTCTTCTTTGAAGCGAAAATCATTGATTTTACTACGGTTTCGGCCCCATTTTTGCCTTATGAGGGGGCAGCGCTCCGCTTCCTTCATAGCAAAATCATTGATTTTACGAAGGTTTTGGGCTCATTTTGTCCTTCTCAGGGGGCAGCGCTCCTTTGCGCTTCTGAGGAGGTCGCAAGAGGCCCCAAGAGCCTCCAAGAGGCCCCCAAGAGGCCCCACGAGGAGCCCGAACGACTCACACCAGGACGAGGGGCCCGAACGACTCGCACCACGAAGAGCCCGAACGACTCACACCAGAAGGAGGGGCCCGAACGACTCACACCAGGACGAGGCGCCCGAACGACTCACAACACGAGGAGCCCGAACGACTCACACCACGACGAGGGCCCCGAACGACTCACACCACGAGGAGCCCGAACGAGTCACACCAGGAGGAGGGGCCCGAACGACTCACACCAGGACGAGAAGCCCGAACGACTCACACCAGGACGAAGAGCCCGAACGACTCACACCACGAAGAGCCCGAACGACTCACACCAGGAAGAAGGGCCCGAACGACTCACACCAGGACGAGAAACCCCAAACGACTCAAACCACGAGGAGCGCTTTCTCTCCCTCCTCCTCCGCCTCGTCCTTCTCCCGCTCCCCCCACAAGGAGGATGTACAAGGAGGCGGGAGGAAGGAGGAACAAGGGAGATATGCGGGGCCAAGCGGACACACGCCTGAAAACCACGACTGTCGGCATGCTTCGCAAGAGTTGCTGTTGTGAGATGGGCTGGTGGGGATACGCGAAGCGTAAAGAATTTCAGGGACTCCAGTGGACGCACCCATTGATCGGAACTTTCTCTCCCCTCGACCTCTCGCCTCGGACCCTTGGGTTGGTTCTGGATCGGGTGGTGGACGGGTGGATTTGGAACAGGGTTGCTGACCACTTGGAGCTTCCCGAGGCTCGCCGAGGCCTGTTTTTGCAACCTATCAAGCAAGTCATTCGCAGCAAGAAGTGCTCGCCTCAAGGGGCCGCGTATTCAAGGAGTGTTGTTGCAGGCGGTCAGTGGCCCCAGCAGCGCCAACACGACACCCATCTCTCGTCTGAGTTTCCGTGTCGAGCCTGCCTCAGCGCTCCAGGCACACTGTCGCACAGGCATCTCTCCTGTGGCTTCACCGAGGAGGTGGTCGAAACATCCCCGCCTCCCTTTTTGGGGAGGCTCGCGGCTGCTTGCGTCGATCCTCTTCCCCGCCTCCTCGCTGAGAGGCTGCTCGTGCCGCCTGCTCCCCGTCCTGCCGCTCCCGGGCCTTCTGGACTTTGGCTCTTGGGGCATTGGGGTCCTCCAGGGCCATGTCTTCCTGGCCGGGAGCTTGAGGGACAGCGATTTTGAAGTCGTGAACCGCGGCCTGGGCTGGTCATGCGTCCAAGTTTCCGAGCAGTCTTTTCGGGCCGAGGCAATCTATGCTGGCTCTTTCGAGCATGCCGCCGTTGACATTGATGCCCTGGAGCCGATTGCGCTATATCATGCGCTTTGCGTCTCATTGCCTGGCACCGTCTTTTATAGTGAGTCCAGCTTCGTGGTGGATGGGGTCTTGGAGAGAGGCCCCGTCAAGTGCTGTTCTGCGAAATCCAGCTGGGCCGAACTTTGGCGCATGATGTGGCACACAATCGACGACTGGGGAGGTGTGAGTGGGTTGGGCGGGCTTGTGAAAGTTAAGGGCCACACCACTCGCGCTTCGGTCGTCTGCGATGCCTCCGCATTCCATAAGGCAGGCAACGACCTTGCCGATGAATATGCCAAGCAGGCCTCTACTTTCTCTCGGCTACCGCTCGAGCTGCGTGAGCAGCGCGAGAAGACTGCCGCTGTCCTTCGGTCGTTTGCCGCCTGGGTAGCTCGTGTTGGACCAGCTCTGGTGGCCTCTGATGCACTTCATGTCTGTGAGGACCAGCGCAAGCGCGCGGCGAAACCCCACGCCCCGACGCTGCAGGTCCTCCCGCCCGAGCCGCCCTGTACCCCGCGCGCCCTGAGGAGCGCTGATGCGACCACCGTTCGCATCGCCCTCGCGGGCCAGAGGATCCATGTTGTTCACCCCTTGCTGAGACGGGCAAGTGGGGGGTCGGCTGCGCCGTGTGCGGTGCTGCGGGCCTTGGCTCGCCGCCTGCGCTATCTTCCCCGTGTCCAGGTCAGCCAGCACCGCTCTCGTGGGGTGCTCGGGTGCTGGCTAACCTGGCACGAGGAAGGTGCCAGGTTAACAAGAAGTGGTGCGCGCTCGTCCAGCCCTGGCGCACCGCCGAGCTGGTGCGCGCTGGCGAGACTTCGTCGTCTCCCTCGCATCCAGCGGTGGTGTTTGACCCCGCTGGCCTGGCTGGCGAGGCTGGTTGACCTGTCCCAACTGGCTGTGGCACGCGGTCCGCCTTTGTGGCGCGTGTGTCATGGCTCGGAGGGGGCAGGACAGCCAGCTTCGCCTCGCCCTTCGTGCCATCTGCCGAGGGCCTTTAATGTAGGGTGCTCAGGATAACCTGTGCGCCAGGCTGCGTCGATGAGGAGGAGGAGGAGGAGGAGGAGGAGGAGGAGGAGGAGGAGGAGGAGGAGGAGGAAGAGGAGGAGGAGGACGGGGGGAGGGGAGGCGCCAACCCCGCTGCGACCGCCACTGGACAACCTTTGCACGAGGAACTTCAGTCACTGCGGCAAATGTCAGCTGGAACTGCCTTCCCCGTCGTAAGCCTGGCAGCATCCTCTCGTAGACGAGGCAGGAGAAGGATGGAGGAGACGCAAGATGGTGCTGATACTGATGGTGTGATGTTGACGACGACGACGATAACCATACCGATGGCAATGATGATACTGTTGACAACGATGACGACGATGATGGTGCTGCTGCGGCTGCTGATTCTGCTGATGCTGATGCCGCTGCTGCTTATGATGCTGATGCTGCTCCTGCTGATGATGATGATGCTGATGATGATGATGATGTTGTGATGATGATGCTGCTGATGATGATGATGATGCTGATGATGATGATGATGATATGGGTGGGGTTGATGATGCTGATGCTGATGATGGTGATGATGATGATGATCATGATGATGCTGATGCTGAGGAGGCTGATGTTGTTGTTTTTGGTGGTGATGATGCTGATGATGCTGCTGCTGATGATGATGACGCTGTCGATGCTGCTGGTGATGATGATACTGATGATAATGATGATGTCCATCATCCCAATGCGGAGGACGACGATGATGCTGACGATGAGTATGACGACATTGCCGGTGATGATCATCATTATGTTAATGATGCGGATGGGCAGATGCCGATATTGAAGCGATGATGTTGACGATGCACATGATGATAATGATGATGTTGATTAGGATGCCTTCCACTATGATGGTCATGGTGCGGTTGAGGATGCTGGTGATGACGATGACGATGACAATGTTGAGGAGCTGGAGGAAGACGGGCGCGACTGCAGCGGTAATAACAGCCCCTTTTTGCCAGTCGCTGCTTTGCTGGCAGGGTCCACCGTTCGGTCGCAGCCCCCTTCCCGAAGGCCTCCTCCTCCTCCTCCTCCTCCTCCTCCTCCTCCTCTCTTCCCCTCTTCCCCTCGTTCACCCTCCTCCTCATCCTCCTCTCCCTCCCAATCTTCCTCCTCCTCCTCCTCCTCTTCCTGCTTCTCCTTCCTTTTCCTCCTCCCTCCCTGTTCCCTTCCATCTCTCCCCCTCCGCATCCCCCTCCCGTCCTTCCCCAAGCCTTCCGCAACCACCTGTGCGAACACAAAAGACCCCACGTCGCGGTCGGTGGGAAGCCGGCAGCGTGGCGGGAGCAGAAGGTCGGGGAAGAGGAGGGAGGACCGGCGGGAATGCTCGGCGAAGCGCCTACAGCCTGCGCGCGAGCGAGGTGGCTGCCCGAGGCAAGTCATGCACTGCCGTCACAGGCCCCAAGATGCACTTCATTCAGGGCAGCGGCTCCAGGCGCCACGGCCGCCGCCGCACGACCGCCTGGCTGCAGGGCGTGCCGCGACACGGCGCGGGCCGAGCCGGCCTCAGTGGCTGTAGCCTTCGCTCAGCCTCCAGGCGTTCCCCTCGCGGTCGGCCTGCATCACGGTCACCGCCGGGGTGCTGGCGCTGGCCGCCACGGGCTCGGCCACGGGGTCCAAGGTGGACGCCCAACTGGTGGGACGAAAAGGTACCGAGGAGGAGGAGGAGGAGGAGGAGGAGGAGGAGGAGGAGGAGGAGGAGGAGGAGGAGGAGGAGGAGGAGGAGGAGGAGGAGGAGGAGGAGGAGGAGGAGGAGGATCGAGGAGGAGGAGGAGAAGGAGGAGGAGGAGCGCAGACCTCTCTCTGGGGGTGCGCTCTTGCCAGGATTTTTCAGGGCGAATCCAGCCGTGGCGACGAGGGAAGGGCAGCCGCGCCGGTACATCTTCCTCCTCCGACCACCGCCGCGCGCGCGGCAGCTCCCCCGGATCGAAGAGCGCGGCCCAGGGCTGGCCGTGCGGCCCCAGCGAGACGCCGCTCTCGTCCTGCCGGCGGTGCAGAGAGGGGGCCCCGAGGGCTGGGGCCCTCAGGGTAGGAAGAACTTCCCCAATGGACTTGCACTTTTCGAGGCCCCTCGTGCCTATCGGCTTCACGCAAGAGTGACTCTGGGCAAGAGTGGCCTCTGGTGCGCGGTTTCCTGTGTGCGCGGGGAGCCAAACCGAAGCGCGCAAGCCGCTGCGATCCTATCGCGTTCAGCGATCGGGGGACCCCAGTTGGCCCGTTTCAAAGATCACTCCAGCGAGTTTTCACTCTTGCGTGTAGTCGCACCCAGGGCCCCGACATTATGATTTTTCCATGCCGTCGACCCCAAGAAGTCTCGACCAATTCCCCTCGGAAAGGCTTTTCATCCCGAGTCGTTTTTCGACGGCTCCTGGGCCCGGCGAAGGCCACCCCCGAAGCTGACAATGGCGAAAACCCCCCCCCCGTCGTCATCTTGCCATGGCTCCAGGGGTCTAGGCCCCAGGGCCCCTGCCCCTGAGCGTTTCGCTCGAGACATCCTCACAACATCGTGAAGAGTTGGGGTTCGTATCTTGGGACGTCTTTCGCTAAGCATGGGCGCTTCGCTCGGGACATCCTCGAAACATCGGGATCTTGAGATCGCTCGCCTACACCCTGCGAAATGCTTTAGAAATTATGGATTAAGAAATTCATAGTCTCAGAACTTGAACAAAAACCCAACATTCCTATTTAAATCTTAAGATTTACATTGAAACGTTAAGAATAATCGAGACTCTGGCCGAAACTTTAAGTTTTCTTAAGCATCGCCTAAGGTGTACTCTTCGGGTCCTCGAGAATGGGCGTTTCGCCCGAGACCTCCTCGAAACAAAAATGGGATGCCGACAGAGCTCGTGCTCTCACCCGGACCCGGCTTCGCGCCCCGAGCCGCTTCTCTCCTCTCGACGCCCCCCCGGGGCCCGGGCGACGGCCTCCCGAGGCCGAGAGAGAGCGCGGCGAGGAGCCTCCGCCCTGCCTCTCCCTGTCCTCCTCCTCCTCCTCCTCCTCCACCTCCTCCTCCTCCTCCTCCTCCTCCTCCTCCTCTCTCCTCTCCTCCCTCCTCCTCCTCCTCCTCCCCCTCCTCCCCCTCCTCGTCCTCGTCCTCCTCCTCCTCCTCCTCCTCCTCCTCCTCCTCCTCTTCCTCGTCCTCCTCCCCCTGCCTCGCCATCGCTCGGACGTCCATTTTTTGTGTTTTTTAGGTTTCGTGCGTGTTTTTTTCGCCACATGGTCAAGGATGTTCCTCGATGGCCCTCGCCGGAGGAAAAAAGCACACGTCCGAGCGATACCAAGACTCGGGCCGGGCGAAAGGGGGGGATAGCAAAGGGGGGGTTTGAGAATCAGCTCACGTAGCTGATTTTCCCGGCGCCGGAGGCGGCCATGTCTCGAGGAATGGGCCCCTCGGTGAGGCCGAAACCAGCTGCATGCAGCTGATTTCGTAACCCCCCCTTTCCCAATCCCCCCCTTTCGCCCGGCCCGATGCTCCTCGCCATCGCTCGGACGTCCATTTTTTGTGTTTTTTAGGTTTCGTGCGTGTTTTTTTCGCCAAACGGTCAAGGATGTTCCTCGATGGCCCTCGCCGGAGGAAAAAAGCACACGTCCGAGCGATGCCAAGACTCGGGCCGGGCGAAAGGGGGGGATAGCAAAGGGGGGGCTCGAGAAGCAGCTCGCGTGGCCGATTTTCCCGGCGCCTCCCGGCGCCAGGAGGCGCCCACGTGTCGAGGAAGGGGCCCGGCGGCGGGGCCGAAGCCAGCTGCATGCAGCAGATTTCGTGCCCCCCCCCCCTTGCCCAATCCCCCCCTTTCGTCCGGCCCCATCTGCGCCGCGAGCATGTCTGGGTTCGAGCCGCCGGTCCTGCACCTCCAGCACCGACGGCATCGAGTGATCGGGCCCCAGGGCGCCCCGCTCGCGTGCGGGCACCACGCGGTGATCGGGGAGCCGAGGCCGTCGCACCGCCTCCACCGGCACCGGCGTGGCGGTCTGCACGGGCACCGCCAGGGCGCGGCGCTCCACGGGGAGCGGGGCGCCTCTCGGCGATGACGGCGCCGCAGACCTGGCGGTCAGAGGGGCCTGGAGGAAGCACACAATGGCACGAGCACAAACTTTTGGAGGTCCGCGCGGATTGCTTGGATCTGGGCTCTAGCGGCTAGAGCCCCCTCCCTGCCGCGCGGAGCGCGCCAGGTGCGGCGCCAGAGGCGCCGCCAGGGGGCCCCAGCGCGGATCCAAGACATCCGCGCGGACCGTCGAAAGTTTATGTTTGTGCCGTTTTTTGTCTTCGAGAGCCTGCACCTGTGCGACCGCGAGCGACGGGAAGGCGCCCCTCGGCGATGGCGACGCGGTGGATCGGGCCGTCAGCGGAGCCTGCAGCTGGCCGCCCGAAGGCGACCGGGAAGACCAGTGCGGCGGCCTGGGGTAGGAGTCGTGCGTGGGCAGCGGGGTGTACCTGAACGGTGCCGGCGCCTGCAGGCCTGGCCAGCTGGCGCACTGGAGGTGGCTCGCCCAGGTCCTCAGCGCGTCTGGGCTGGGGATGCCCGCCAGTCCTGCTGCACAGAGGGGGGAGAGGAGGAGGGGGAGGGAGCATGAGCAAAACGAGGATAATGAGGAGGATGAGGAGGAGGAGGAGGAGGAGGAGGAGGAGGAGGAGGAGGAGGAGGAGGAGGAGGATGAGGAGGAGGAGGGAGGAGGAGAGGAGGAGAGGAGGAGGAGGAGGAGGAGGGAGGAGGAGGAGGATGGAGGAGGAGGAGGAGGAGGAGGAGGATCCTGGCCCTCCGAAGCCCTCCGAAGCACGCTCCCTCGGACGCTGGCAGCATGCCCTCGACCTTGCTGCCGCTGCGGGCCCCGCCACTTCCAGCCAGGCACTCCTCGCTCTCGTGGTCGTGGGCGTCCATGGATCGCATCCTCGGGACCCCCCCCCGACCCGAGCCGGTTCGCGGCCTGGCCCCGATCTGTACCTGGCCGGCCCGACCCATCCCGAATTCGCAAAAAAAGCAGCCTGCCGGCCCCCCCGCCCCCGCCACCCCACGGGGCTCACGCCGACGCCTCCCGAGAAGGACGCAGCTGCGGCGCGCTCGCCCCGCCCTCCCCCCCTCCTCTTCTCCTCCTCCCCCTCCTCCTCCTGGCCGTCGCTCGGGCGTCCATTCCCTGTGCATTGTCTGGCTTCGTGCGTGCCGTCTCTCAAGAGGATCCATGGTGCTCCAGAATGGCCCAGATCTTCTGGCGCTAGCCTCGCTGGGAAACACGCTCGCGCCCGAGCGACGCCAAGTCTCCCTCCCTCCTTCTCCTCCTCCGTGCCTGGGGGAACCAAAACAAAAACCCTTCCTCCTCCGCGATCGGGGGCCCAGACCGATCGCCCCGGATCCCGTTCGATCGAGGGGTCGGCCGGGAGCGGCGGAGCGACCAGGCCTTGATGGGCGGATCGCGGCCTGCTAGGCTCCGCGTCCGTCCGCTCTTCTGGCGTCGGGGGCTCCTGGGGAGGAGCAGGCAGACGACCACCAGGGCGACAAGCAGGGCGGCGCCCACGATCACAGCAACCATGGCCCGAGGTCTGGAGTCTGCCTGGGCGCATGTGGGAGGCGGAGAGCGGATGAGGGGGAGGAGGGCGATGATGAGGAGGAGACCATCGGTGTCAACGGACAACCGATTTCAAGCGAAGAGGCACAAGCGGAAGCTGAGCTGGACCACTTTGCCATCGCCGACCACACGATCATACGCACGTCAGACGACATCGCCTACGCTTACAGCACGAACGCCGAGGAAACGATACACAATACTCAATCGCACCCAGACCGAAACACCCATCGCCAACATCATCATCGAGGACGACCTAGAAGCCAGTTTCCACGACGCCAAGCAAAATAGACACGGCGGCCCCGACAACATCACGGACGGCATGTGCCGCACGGCCTGCAAATATATGGCGAGACTATACCACCCACTACTCGTCAAGGCACAGCTGGCAACTGTGGAGCCACTGTCCCACAAATGGGGATGGCAAGCCTCATGTGCTAAGAGCGCTACCGCTAGCGAACACTATGGGAACAGACGGATGAAACTACTCAACAACGTCGTGGCCAAGCGCAACCACAGGTTTGTACAGACGAACCTTGAGAAAGTCTCAGCGGCACATCTTCGAGATACCCAGTGCTGCGCACGACTCCATCGGAGCACCGACGTCGTCACCCATATCACCTTGACATACATCAGCGTCATGAAGAACCAAGGCAACAATGGCGTGCTCCTTCTCCTGGATCTCAAGGACGCCTTCTACACCGTCGTTTGAAGCTTCTACACAGGCTACCTACTGAGGAGCACGAGCTGATGGACCTCTTCGATACAGTGGGCATACCAGAAACCACACTGCCCATGCTCGAGGAGGTACTACAGGGAGCACCATACACCGACGACAACATCCACAAACCCTCGTACGTGACGCCCACACAGACCTCTGGGCAACAACTACGGGTTCAAGACGAATGGCTCAACCCAGAATGGGAACGATACCTGGAGTGCCAATGTCCGACTTCTCAGTCAACACAGCCTTCGCAATAGTCACAAAAGGCGATCGCCGAGGACATGATCGACCGCGGCATGCACTACGAAGTGCGTGGAAACAACGAGCATGAGGCCAACTTCACACAAGGACGACGACACTAACGTGGACAAGATGGGGGCGTCGCCCTCGCCGACTTGTCATTCCTATAGATGACCTCGAGGCAAACGCCACCACGACGCCCACCGAAGCCATCACGACAGCAACTACCCTGCTCAAGATCGTCGAGTCCAGGGTGCGCGCCCACGGCGTGCGCCTCGAGGCCAAGAAGACCAATACCATGCTCCTGCTAATTCGGCCCTGGTTCGCGCACAATCGTAGAACAAGTCGCGAAGGAGGGCATCGCAGGGATCAAGAGCGCCTACAGCGACCAGACTCTTGAGATCGTAAGCGCACAGACGGCACTAAAAACAGTCATCACACCCACAGGCGCGATGGGCCCTGAGATCAAGAAGAGGACCAACAAGGCCATGGTCAGCCCAACAAGGCCATGGTCAGCCGAGGGCCACTACGAACGCATATCTTCGAGAGAAGAAACATACCAACACCCAACAACGTACCCTACAACGACTCATTGGTCCTATCCACGTTATCGTGCAACGACCACGCGTTGAACCACCTCACAGAAGGAGACGCCCAACTTCGCCGTGGAATCCATGAAAAGCTACAGACAAGCCACCGGGTACCAAGCCAGCTACGACAAGACGGATCGCATCACCAACCTCCAGGTCCTTAGTGAGGCTAACAGCCTACCTCCGGACTTCGCCAGGCGAACAAGGAGATTGAAGTACTTGCCACGACTATTACTCCACGGTCCTACCATCCTCCTACGCCTAATGGATGAATATTCAGGGCACACTACGAGATGGACAGCCACGAGCTGGACAGCAAGGATCAGACAGGGTCTTCAATGGCTATACGACCACCTCAACCAAGAGGAGCAACCCATAACCACATTGGACCTACGTAGAGTTGTACGCGCTGCCCACGAGGAACCAGCACGACTTCGGGCCACGGTCAAGAAGGCCGCAGGGACGCGCCTACGACTGCAACAGGACCGCGCTCACCAAGAGCGATGGCACAATGAACTCGAGCCGGGCCAGAACACGGGCACCATGCCGCCGATACCGACAATGTCTCCACAACGACCCAAAGCCACACGTGATGTGCTGCCAGTGCGGAGCCACCTTCTTCAAGAAGGACGCATCTTATGCGCACCTCGGCAAGCACCACCAAAGCGTGACCCGCCCAACCAGGTGGGCTCAGAGCACAATAGGCCTGACATGCAGCGGGCAATGCCATACCTACGCTCGTTTGGTGAAGCATCTCCAGGCAGCCCTGTCATGCGCGATGACATGGACAAAAGCCACCCCTCAGGTAGACGTCGACCTAACGGAGAAGAGCCAGCAGGACATCTTGAAAAAACAAAGCGCGCCGACATCAAGGAGGGACTGCCACCCGACTACGCATACCTACCGAGCTACACGACAGACATCATCCCCACGCTTGCTAAGGACAAAGAAGCTACACACGACATAATACCGCCAGTTGAGCTACCATAAGCCGATCCCGCGGTCAACAACCCTACCATCCCACGACCGCCGGGAGGACCGAGGCGCTTCATCCTGCACCTCTACGGTGGGCAACGACGAGGAGGAGACCTGCAAGAATGGATGGAGCACTTCCAACCGCTCGAGAGCACGCAGACGTACGTACTCTCCATCGACATCGCTAACCACGCCATCAAAGGCGACCTTACCAATTGGGACACCGTGTCCTTGTGGATGCAACGAATGCACGATGGAAGAGTTGGAGCACTACTAGCGGGCCCACCTCGCGAGACATGGAGCGCAGCAAGGACAGGGGAATTACCGGACGCTCACAGAGAACCACGACCACTACGCAGAAGAAACAACCATGCGGGCTCAACTATGAGACCGACCACGACAGCAACCGGATCGCCCTGGCAAACCGATTTCTGAGGAGAACCTTTTAATCATCTACGTGGCGTGTGCAACCGACTTACCCGTCAACAGGGAGCACCCCGAGACGGTCCAAGACAGAAGAAGGGTCGCGAACACACTACCCTGACTACTTCACCTTCCACAGCGACCTGCCGTACGGCTCGTGTCCCTCGGCCAATGCATCATGGGCCAGATCTCGCGGAAACCAGCCAGCCTGCTCGTGATCGGAGTGCCAGGCCTCACAGCGCGAACCTTTGCAATACCCGACATGTTCAGGTGCAATCGCGGGTATAGCGCACACCCACCACTATCGGGGCGGAAAGAAGACGGAGCACGGCGGAGCGCGACCGCCAAGACATAACACACGCCATATTAATCACACACTGGCAGCGGCTATCAGCGAGGCAGTGCACATACGGTGGAACTTGAATGAGCATACCAACCAGTGGGAGATCGACGACCTGTACATACAATTCCACACCCCGCTGGACGCCAAGTGCGACTTCCAGATGAGTACCGATTGCATAACCCATCGGCCTCTTTTACAACGGTAATTCTTCGGAACTGTGAGTAAGTGATGGCTACCTGGTGCGACCACCATCACTCGGGACATGTCTCCTGGTAACTCCCTCCAGCACAACTTGAGCTACACCGATCAGGAGTTCTCGTGCGCCTGACCTGGGGTATAGCTACCCACCCAACAGGCCATGGAACTGACCGGGAATCAGGGGGCCTGGGAATTTTATGCGGCAGGAGGGGGAGGAAGTACCTGGTGCGGCCCACGACAACCTGGGGCATGTCCGGCGGCCAGCGAGAATCTCTCATCAATCACTTGACCACCTCATCACATACATCTGGCTCAAGGTTTTCGGCTTCGCAGACTTCTTCCAGACCTCCGCGGCGCCTCGTGCCGCAACAACGCGCTGTGCCGACGGAACCACTGGTGGACCTACAACGAGGCAGGTCCTTGAAAGACAACAGAAATCCCGGCGACACCACCATCAACTACAAGGTCTTCAACTTTCCGTCCAAGATCACTTTCGCCAAGAACCCAGAGGTAAGGATTTTTGATCTGCGGCCCGCAAGGAAGAGTCCAGAGGGCGTGTCAAAAAAGAGGTAAGGATTACCGAAGGTACCAACGATTACGCCGCTCAGAACGCTGAAGAGTGGCGCAGCTGGAAGACGCGGCCGTGAGGACATCGCGCCATGCGCGGCACCTGAATTCCAACAGCATGACCAAACGAAGGTCCTTCACTGCCAACGTATACGACTAGGAGTCGAGCTACTCGACTAACAAGCCACCTCAGGTTACAAGACTAGATCCATCCTTCGCAACGCCTTCGGCACGAGTACCAGTCCCAGCACAATTCAACTTGGACTCCGAGGTGCTCGCTCAGGAGTTCACCTACGCGGCACTGGAAATGGAGCCAGTCTGCGTGCTACTGAACACACCAAGAAGATTGACGAAGACCCTGTACAACCTCATCACACGCTCGCCTACTGTACTTGGGTGCCACCAACCACACATGGAAACAGGTCGCCGGCACCAGCTGCGCCGACGCCGTGAAGACTTCGCCAAGAACCAAACTGACGCGGACACCGACGACCCCGTAGCTCCCTGGTCCAGCGGACCGGTTCACCTACCCCACTACCGCAAATGGTAAAAGATCAACTGCGACGGCAACGCGAGGGAGACGCAGGTTTTTTTGCAATCCTTCGTTCAAGCGAGGGTTTTTTTGCAATCCGACGCAGGGTTTTTTTGCAATCCTTTGCAATCCTTTTTTTGCAATCCTTCGAGACGAGGGCTCGCGTCGCGGCGCTACCATGGGAACGGGCAAAGGACATGGCCGAGGTCGACCTTATCTACCTCGACCCTCCCCAAATGTGGCCTCACGGCACGGAGCTCCCCAACCTGGAGCAAATCCGCAAGATTCTCTCTTTCGGGGTCCACAGGAGGGCGGACTTCCAGGAAGCAGAATAGGCGACGAGCCCAGGGGGGAAATGAGAAGGAGAAGGCCTTCTCAGAAGGCCGCGGGACTTCTCAGAAGTCCGGGGGACTTCTGAGAGGTCTCCTTAGCCTATTTCGAATACAGACTGGACTTCTCAGAAGCCCTCTCAGAAGTCCGGAAACTTCTCAGAAGCCTCGGAAGTCCCGCCCCTTCTCATTTCCCCCCCGCGCCCGCCGCTGACAGAACGTAAAGCCACCCACTCCAAGACGCACCTGAAGACCACGGTCGAAGCTGCGAACTACATAC